GGAGGCGTGACCAAGTCAATACAAAATGAATTGGATCCTTTGACTTAGCTGAAGGGGGAGGGCCATGGGGAAGCTGGAACTCAACAGAATGCAGCAAAGACTAGATTTATTGTATGACAAGACCTTATTGTCAATGTTTTCATTGGCTTTCAGAGGTGACTTTCAGAGGTGAGACACCAGTTGTGAATGAAAGTTTGGTAGTATTTTAGTGTCATTATAATCATATACTAGTTATACAGTTTTTCTGTTGTCATTGTAGATTGGCAATGGTAATTTTGTGCTCTCTCTTCTATGAGATGTAYATTATGGGTCATCAAACCTAGGAAGTGTCCAACCCCGCAATGCGGAGTCTTCTTTTTTGGGAGGTTCCTCTGATTCTTTTGCTATATTTTCATCAGAATCTTCATCTTGCACTGGTGATATTGTGGAKTCTTGATCATTTGGTGTTTCAGTTATACCGTGGTCACAATCATCTTCAAACTCTTGGTCAGGTGATTTAGTAGAATCTTCTCGTGGCTCTTTGGTTCCTCCATTAGAAAGTTCTATTTTTGTAGGYGATGTGGTGGACTCTTCGATAGGTCYTGCTGTATTTTCATCCAAATCTTCCAAATTTTTAGAAGGTATGGTAGAATTTCCTGGTGTTTCTTCTGYAATCTCATCAGGATCAATCGTGACTTGTTGCTCTAGAGATGTGATGGAATCCTCCTCTGTTTTGTKTGCATTTTCAGCATCTGCACTTACTTCTTCAGGGAATGAAGTGGACATTTCTTSCGGTTCTTGTTCATGGGAGCCACCATCTGATTCATCTTCTGGTTTGATTTGTACGATTCCTCCCGACAGSGTGCTACATCCCCCAAGACTTGTCAACTCAACGTCCCATGAGTCACACCCTCCCATGAACAACAACCAATCGAGAGCATCTCGTACCTGGATACTCCCGTATCCTTCTGCCGAGTCACATTCTGTTGTTTTCTCCTCCTCCGAGTTAGAGTTCGAATTCTTGTTCTCGCTACGAACGGCGGTCTTGGCCATGGCATATCGTATCTGTCGACTGGAACATGTGGGATAGTGGCTTTTGAGCAAGGCTACCGCCCCGGTCACGTGGGGAGCTGCACTTGATGTTCCCGATCGGCGCTCGTAGACGTATTCCATCTCGCTTTTTTCTTCATTCCATCTCACTCCGGTGGACAGGATTTCGTGACCTGGCCCGACAAGCTCAACTTGATTGTTTCGAATGGAACTTGGAAAGTGGGATCCACCTCTTTCGACGGCTCCAACACTAATGACTGACGGGATCGATGCTGGATAAAAGTCAAAGTCTTCCGCGCCTTCGTGCTTGTTCCCAGCTGCTGCAACCATGATTGCCCCACCCTGCTCRACAATACTGGCATACAACGCAGCACTGAACGATGATGGATAGACATTTCCGAGGGACAAATTTATCACATCTGCTTTGGCTTCCCCAACACATGTTCGTACCGCACGTACCACGTCTGATTCGTATCCAACGTCGTTTCCGTCGAAGGCGCTCACGACGAAGAGCTCAACATTGTTTGGCGTCCCTGTAATATATCTACTGGCATCGACAACGTTAAATATTACCCCAGCCACGTGAGTGCCATGGCCATTGATGTCACGGTTCCATTTCATCAATCGTGTGCCACTGGCTCCACCGGTAAATGAGAGATTTCGAAAATCTTTTCCCTTTATTCGATAAATTCCTTTCTCTCCTAGGTCTGTAGAGGACGGCGTTGACGGAAACCCAGGATGATTGGCAGCTATTCCGGTATCAACTACACTGTATCCATGATCAATACAAGAGGGAAGGGAGGGTTGTTGGAAGGAAAAAACAACGAAGTCTTTAGATTTTGCTTAGAATAACGCAATGGCATAGCTTTCGACATCAATCGATGCTCTTCTGTTCTCATAATTCATCCACGTTACAGTCGACGCCTCTCATCTTGCTCGCGCTGGAGTGYGCAGCCAATGAAAAGGCKRAATAAAAATTATTCCCCTAGATAMAAATTCGAGGTATCGTATGGAGCGGKAACTACCATACCGTACAGAGGAAGGTGATTACTTACCATACTGTCACCTTGTTGGAACCCGGTGGCACCCAATCGGCTTGGATGGCCTCGACATTCCATGGGAATTCTTCAGATCCCTCTTCGAAGCCCTCTGTCGACGATGACGGCGAAACTAATGATTCCTGAAATAGCGAGACTCGACGATCCTCCTCCACATCYAAAATGTCGTTCATCTTTCGAAGGGAGGAAATGCATCCTTCTACATCATCATTATTGCTGCTGCTTCCGCCACTACTGATGTCGTAATTGAAATCTTGATCATACACCAAATGACCTTTTTGCATTATTTCATCGATACCAATGTCWGCGTCGAYATCTACTTCAATTTCAAAATCTACTTCGAAAACCGTGTAGTCTGTGTCATCGTCGTCTTCCAAAATCGATTTTGCACATCGCTGGACCGATGCTCGACCGACGGATCCCGAATATCTTGCAAAGTAGCGCTTTTTTGACAGCAGTTTTCGCCTAACTTTTGAAGGATTATTGGATAATGGTATCTCTGAGTTCGTCGTTTGTGAGTWCGTCGTTTGTGATGCAATCGATTCCGAACGACGGTGTCTTCGAATGGATTGGCCTCTCAAAGAGCTTGYATTCTTGTCGACAGCCGTAGCCTCTACAGCGAATGGGCATTTTGTTGGAGAGGCCAGAACMACTGCCACTACAAGTATGAGACATGGCAAGAGCACCTTGCGGGCTCCAAAAAGCCTATCGCCGAATCTGTTTTGCTTGGATGCCATCATTGTACTTGTCTTCGTCGTTTTAGTTCCATGTGCCTTCATTGTGTGTCATCAGTCAGTGATGGTYGTTGTTAGGGTCGTGACTGATTTGATCCAGTTGCAGATTTTTTGGAATATGAGTGGTTGTTGTGATGCTGGCTTTTAGATCTTTCGCCGTTAAAGAAGTACGTGATGAGAAGCTCCATCGACAAAGAATTTGGATGGACGTAAAAATTTGCATCCGATYWAAGGCAGCCGCAGAAGTGGTAGTTTATTTGAKTTCTGCTTTTGGCCTCGGAAAAGATTCTGTCAAATTCTCTGCAGATGATGGATCTGCCGATGCACATGCTACAGCTTCTTTTTTGATGGTCCGCTCGAATCAGACTTTGCAAAGTACTAGAACTAGGTATGATTATTATATAAGCCTATAGCAAAAAGCCTATACACGTGTGCGGCACGATATTAACCCGCTCCCGGTCTTTCACAAGAACTTTTGAAACTGTGACTCTGTACCGTACTCTGTATGGTCTATTTGCACACTCCGACTGCTTTGAAAAATTACTGTATTACAGTACGTTAAAGAACGTACGTACATGTAGTATTGAAGCCTACAATAAGACTGATCCTTGTAACGGAAGAGATTCGTGCTAACGGCTGGAGGCAAGACTCGCGTTTGTACGATTACGGACAAAAGCGTTCAAGAGATTGCAACAAGATCAAGACATGAAAATGATCATATCTACTACTACCGTACCGTACGTAAAATATTGATCCCATTAAGCGAGAACAGTCATCCAAATTCACTAATTACGTCATTGCTCTAATTTCCTCATCAAATATTAAAAAGTGAGAGCCCCACATACCGATTTACTTATTGGAAATGAAAAACATTCCGACCATATCGTCACAACCACTGACCATCCAATAATGATTAGACAACCGTGACTACGTACCTTCAGTAGCCAATCGTATGCATTAGGAAAGTACTTCCGTAAATTAGAACGAAGTTACAAAAAATTAACACCTACCGAACATTTTCAAGTTCTTTAGTTTGAGATAAATGCGGTAGATGTGTGCACGAACGAACGTAGTAGCAGTCTTCGTACCAAATAGTCGCAATCGAACCAACACTTCATGCAGCTCAATTTGTTGTTTCTTCTATCTCCGCATTTCCAAATTTTTATCAGAACTTCGTTATTTTTTCTCGGTAGTACTCGTATTCGTTCATAAGGATGCATGATGTAGTAGTCGTTGGTAGTTTCCTCGTCAATGAAGTACGAGTAGGGTACTCTCCAGCCACACACCATTGACCAGCAACCATTTCCTCTTTTTGACTAAAAAACGTCACTCCGTTACTGCTACAAATAATAAGTACAGCACACATTTTGTGAATAGATTAATTTGACACTGCAGTACGGTATTTGAAGTTGTCTACCCACAGCTTTTCAAGAAGGTTTCGGATTCATTGCCTTGTACGTACCTTATCATCTTTCTTCTTAATTCGAGATTAGTACACAATCATTCCCGCTATCTTCGACTCTATCTCATCCATAACAAAATACTTCGTACGGTACGTAGTACTGTACCCAAGTACCATACGATACCGTACCGTACGAGTTATCTACCTTGAGACAGGGGTCATTAAATTTATGACCCCTGCCTTGAGATACGTACGGTACGATACTCGTATCCTGTAGTAGTACGTAACTATGTACAGGTACTTATGGTCAATACGAACCAGAGACTACCGTACTGATGGTGCTAAAAACAAAAATGCGAGATTCGACATCATCCACCCATCAAATGGATAACGAGATCAGAAGAAGAGAGCAGGGAAACATCATATCGGAGTTGGCATAAGAACATGATGGTGTTCATGGTCTAACCCAAAGACTGAACTCAAACGCCCAAAAGAAATTAAGAGGAAGAAAAGGACTGATATTAATCAAGCCTAAACTGCAATTACTTCGCCTATCGTACGTTATCGTTCGACTCGCAGGTCATATCGAACAAGAGAATCAATCATCGCTTTAGTCGACTACAACCAGCCGCTTCCGACTGAAAATATGATGGGACTCTCTGCGCTCAACCTCACCACCTATGTGATGGTTATGATGGCGTTTCTACTGACTGATAGAGTTACAGTGGGCTTTGTTCCAACCATCSCTCTTCACAAACACACGGAAGCCAAAAGAATGGATTTGAATTCTGCGATAGACGAGAAAACATCTATTTCTACTGACAACAGKGGATCGGATGACTCGTTTGAAATAAAAGAACGATCTTTCTTGTCGGATGAAGATGGAGTTCCGCCGCCGCTTCATGAGTCGTCCTACACACAGGTATTGAGCACGATGTCGCTATCACTCATCGCGAACAGACTTCGTGATGCGTATGACTACCACTTTCAAGATCCACGGCAACCAAACGGAGATAGATTTGCATGGGACCCTTGGTTTGTTTTGGCCGGTGATGGGAGACGTACGCAAATAAATGAAGAGGAAGACGAAAATGATTTGCTAGCAGAGCAACAAACTACAATCGAAGGAGAAGAAAACGCTTTGTCGAACCAGATACAGTACTCACTGAAACGAATTCAGACAAGCCTRTTTTTTTCAGAAGATGATTATAACGATCTCGTTGACGAGTTGGTCTCTCTCGCAAATTCGATCGGATTGACGGCCATCTCGCCACCATGGACGTCCATGTACACAGACGGCGATACGCAAAACTTCCACACAGATGCCGCGCACGGCCCTATGGCTTTTGTTTTGTCTCTTTCCAAGAACGGCGATTTTCGGGGAGGAGAAACGGTGATAATGAAACCARAAATACTGGACCTCTGGAGAGATTTTTCAACCGGGAAGGCCATGGAGTGTGGGAATATTATTCGTTACATTCCACCAACACCCCTGGGGCGTTGCATTGCCTTTGATCCCCGTGTTCCCCACGGGGTCAATCGTGTGATCGGGAGCAACGATCCGCGAAATGCGCGTGTGGTCGTTCACGGTTGGTTCAACGAACCCGAAACCTGTTGGTTTGGATCGTGGGGAGACGAGGACCAGAGGATGGAGGCAGCAACCTACCTGGACGAAGCCCTCCAACCTTTGGTAGCAACCATTGGGAGTGGAGAAATTGGTCGCGTGGTTGGATACCTCGCTGTGCGCGTGGAAATCGACGAAGACGGATGCGTCGACCACGTCTACGCCACTTGCGATACGATCCAGGCAGACATGGAAGATTTCCGGGGGGTTATTGGATACGACGAGGCAGATCGACCCGTGATGGAAGATGCTGTCGGAGACATTCGACTCAATGTGTACGAGGCTCTAAAGAATTTGCAGTTCGAGGATGGAGCTGTTGGTCGTGCGCTGGTGGTCCCGTTTGTCTTCGAGTAGGCAATCAAAATATTGTTTGACACGGCAGCACAGCTGGTCTTGCTGCACACTGCACACTGCACACTGCACACTGCACACTACACACAGCATTCTTTCTTTGTTGCATCATCGAGGGCGAAGAGTATATAAAATAATTTCGGATAATTTTGTTTTTTAAAACCAAACTTGCTGATATTCCTTTCCAATTGGAATAAAATTGTTGGTCCCGGGTCCTATTGTTCGGGAACCAAGACATGATTTTCTGAACAGTAATCTTTTTCAATTCTGCTATTTGTTCATGCACTTTAATGAATCTATGAATCTATCAATTACCACTTCCCTGCTACTCGTATTTCCATCTGTAATTTATTTTCAACTGTAATAGCGAAAGATGATAATATCACCATGACTGAATTTTTTGTTTCACACTACGACTTTATCCGTGAAAGCCAAATTGTAATAAATTGAGTACGATAACGGACTACGCATGGTACGTA